CATGTTTTTAACAAGTCCCTGGTGTTCACTCCAATGGTGTGGGTTTGATTTTTAAATTTGGGAATACAGTGGTGGTTCTTTTGCTGTGTGCAACCTCACACATCCTGCAGCAAAGTTGCTCTGATTTATCTCTTTGCAATTCTGATACAGGTTCTTTCTGTGCCACTCTAAGAAGAATCATTTCATCTCTGTTCTGTCACCTATAAACTGGGCTGGTGTTGTTGTTCTCCACACAGGCTATATCAGGATCCTCCAAGGATAGGAGGCAGGAGACCAGAACAGTAGGTTTTGTTAAGCACAGAAAAGCAGTAAGTAGGATAAAAGAGAAGTCTGTGACACTGTATGGTCTCCTGGCCCCTGATAAAGCAGCGATGCTGCCAGATAAGTAAAATCCAAACTAGTATGTCTCGAAACATTTAATGCCCAAGTGCCTTACCTATCTGTTCTGTGGTGCGAAGTAGCTTTGAGGCTGGTTAATGAAGCAGTTCAGCTGATCTGTGAACACAGAGGCTAGGAAGGACTGCTAGGGCATAGTTTTCTGCAGTCCTGTATATCCCACTGGTGATTCTGCATCAATAGCAGGATTCATGCGTGAACAGAAAGCAAATTTTGAGGATGCTCATGTTCTCCAAGTGATACACACCATCAGCTGGATTCTCTGTTTGATGTTGCACATGTTCCAGGCTGCCTATATGACCTCAGGCATTCAGCTAGCACAGGCAGGTGGAAATCTCCACCTTCAGAAATAACCTACTGAATTTCCACTAGTACCTCTACACCCACTGTTTCTTCCCCAGTACTCTGGATCTTCCCTGAGAGGTGTTTGGAGAGCAGGTCAAGTGGATTTTGCCCCACCCTGTATTCCTTGTGATGTATACCTCCCATATATCAATCTCAAAAAAGWCCAATCATATGAAAAAGTCAATGAATTCAGGCTACTCTATGAGAACCTATGTTATAAACAACGTTTTGTTTTATTCCGCGACACTGTTCAACTCCAAACATTAAGATTGAAAGCAGGTGCAAGATATACTTCTTGTGCTGAAATTCCCCGTGTAACTCACCTTCGTTGCGAGCTTCACCGAGCCTTTCCGAGAGAGAGAACATCATTTCACAAATGTCCCCACTGYAAGAGATAGATACTGTGTAATTAGTGTGAGAAACAGAAGTACTTGCCCATCCTACTGCCTCTTTCTAGAAAGAGGGGGCTTGCTGTGAAGCTCAGTGTCACAAACTGGCATTCAGAGGGACCAGGACCTACTTGCAGACTATAGCGGGATTAGCATTCTTGTGTCTGGACAGAGCTTGGCTTAATCAGAATGGCACAATTTTAGTACTAAGACATTCTGATCTGGCTATAAGCAAGTTTATGGGAGTGAGGTGCTTGAGTTGACATGCCCAGGCGTGGCATACACATACCAAACAATCGTATTCACACACCTGTGGATTTCTGCAAAGCCAGGAATATAGGCCTCCATCATTTCCACAAAGGTGTCCATGTCAAAGGTCTCTTCAGAGGAATCTGGTGACCCCAGTTCTTCTAGGACACTTGTGATGTAGGAGAAAACAACATCATCCATTGCACTGGAGACAGAAAGAGCACAGGACATGAAAGCATGGTCAAYGGGCCCATTTTTTTTCCTCTCCCTCTTTCTCCCTCCCCTTCCATTTTCTAATCCACTTCTTTCTAAATACAGCAGCAGAAGAACCTTTATGGTGTGTCCCTTATGTTATGCAAGGACTTAATAGGAAAGCTAAGCAGCAGGTAAGTCAGTGACTGAGTGGGAAGTGTTTGGGGTAATACAAGATACCACAAGAAATACTGCATGCCATCCTCTTCCTGGGCAGCACTAAAGGAATGCCCCAGCATGAGGCCAGAAGCTGGGCTGCTACAGGTGCTTCAGCTGAGCTTAAATATTGTAACTCCTGAAACCCTGACTTTCCCGTGTTGACTGGTGTTTCACGTGATGTCATTATGTCAGCTTGTAATTTCTATGGGATGCATCGTTCCCTTCTTGCTGTCCCATGCTTGGGTCACTTCTGCCAGCACCTGCTGTGTTCCAGCCTCAGAGTGGCTGTATTTCTGCCTGCAGGCAGAGCTTATAGGAGGGACAGCCCTGCAGTATGCTCTTCACAAAGTCTTTTGGGATCACTGTGGAATGAAGGGAATTTCATCCTCTAATGCATACTGTTAGACAGGACATTAATCATCCTGGTCATCAAAGAAATGACATGCCAAACTGTCATGCTAAATGGTGGATGCATTCACACTGGACCAGGTGCGTCCTGAATCAGACAAGGAAAGGCAACACAAAAGTGTGCAGTGCTCCACTTGCAGCTCAGCATAATGTGCCAAAGGGCAATTAATACTGTGTTAAAATTTAAATGATGATCCTGGATGTTGCTATATGGACGTACCTGAGGTCTGCAGCAGGGATGTGGGACTGGATGAAGTGTGTCAGTGTGTCTCGAATGATTCTCTCTAGCGCCATCTCTCTTCAAACCTTTTATTCTTCTGTAAAAAATAAGGGGAAGGAAAACTCCATGTAATTTCAAAGGCAAGAACGCTATCAAAAGATTATGATAAAGGTTTGCATGATATAAGTGAATGAATGCTTCCCAACAGAACATTTCATGAACCACTTCAACCTGACACATAAACTTGGATAAAGACAATTAAAGATACCTGCAAAAAGCAGCAGTGGGAGGAATTACCAGTTGAAAGCAACTCAGTCTCTTGGGTGTCTCCTGTTCATGCTGACAGTGGCACTATACAGCTGTACAAAACGCCCTCCCCTGGGTAGCATAAGCTAAAGCTTGGAACGCAGGTGTGTCCAGCTGCAGGGCCCCAGAGACACCTCCTGAGCTGCAACACGCGGCTGCCTGGCAAGCAWGGGCTGGGCAGTGGGTTTGCTTGCTCGCTGCAGAAAGGGATGGACCTTCTGCCTGTGATGCCTGCATTCAGAAAGATCAGAGCTAAACACCAATGGCCCCCGATCGCCTAAACTCCCCTACAGCTGCCTATTTATTTTATTATTTTATTTACCCTTCCACTCACCTTGATCCAGTAACTAAGAGAATAAAACATGTTTGCATTTACTTCTCATTTGGGACACAGAACAATGAGCTACTGATGCTTTACTACTAGATGACCAATAGACTCATTCAAACACGGTCCCTCTGCAAGAACATTCAGGGGAAGGCACCATCAGACAAGGTTATTTGATTGCAGTTTCCCTTTAAGCTAAAAAGTTCCTTTACCTCCTGTAATTTTGATGAAGAGAATTGCATTTCGGAGCATTAGAGGAAACCAACAACCTGAACACTCTTAAGTGGGAGCTCTGCATGCAAAAACCAAGTGACTCCAAGTGACCCCTGACCACTGTGCTGCTGCTTTTGTTTTTCCTTTGTTGGCATTTTTCTCACTTTTGCAGATGTCATGGCCTGCAAGCGTGGAAGCTGGCAGTAAAAATTACCGCATGTAAAAACACCTTCCAGCTGCCTGATTGTTGTTTGTGTGTGTTTTAAATCAGTCATACTTCTAGCAGCATGGCAGAGACAAGTTTACCTTTGTCATCTTTACAACATAGGCAGAAAAAGGTGAGTTGCCATTTCACATATGGGAAAAGCAGTGATAAGATTCGAGAACTGTCCAAAACAGACACATTTCCCACAATTTAAGCTTCCATGACTGCTGGCTATCACCAGCCCCCCTCAATTAGCAGGTTTTAGAAGAGAAGTTCTTTTCTTTTTATGGAAAGTAGGGATGGAAAAATCAAACCAAGAAATCAAAAATGTTCTTTCTACAGTCATTACTATCCAGACCAAAGCTTATTTCTCTCTTTCAGTCTTTATAATACCTTAGGACCTGGAAATCTCAAGATTTTGCCCATTTCCCTGAAGCAGGGCACTGTTCTGGGGGTGAGAACTATCTAAAAAGCAGCAACATTGCCTGACAACCCAATTAACCCAACAGTAGAGCACAATTCACCATGTCAAAGGCACTTTTGTGAGCATCATAAATTAACACCTAGTAATTTATTAGGCAAAGTCATTCATCTCCTTAAGCAGAGGCACTTGCTGGCAAGTCAASTTGGGACAAAAGAAATATAGGAAAAATAAATCTGCAAAAGAAGTACGGGAGCTATGGCCAGTTACTAACTGCTCATTTCCAATCCGCTCCTCAGCCTCTAACAACCACAAGGAAACTTGGTTTGAAATTATTTCAAACATTTTCCCACAGAGTTACCATGCTGGTATCTGAACAAAAGCTATTTCCTTGTGCCTGTAGGAAGAAAGCAAGCACTGGGTTTTATTCACTGCGTATAAATTCTCCCTGGCATTTCACACAAATATATCCACCAGCACACCCAGATTTAAGGCTTACTCCCAGAGAAACCCGGCTGCCACCTTTAGTCTACCTTGGAAGAAAAGAAATCCTTTAATGACAAAATCTAGCAGCAAAGAACAGAAGGAGGCAAGCTGCTCTGGTATTTCTTTGTGGTTCAGSCATTGCCCCTGTACCTGCAGAGCCCAGTTGTGCTCCTGTAAGACTGCTGGTGCCAAGCCCTCTGCGAGACACATACGCCCGCACGCCCTCACTTGAGGCCATGCAGGAAGGATTTTACCCCTTGGTGTTCTTACAAAATTATGTGTGTCACAGATTTGCAGTGCATGTTTTGGCTGAGCTCAGTCTTGGCTGAGCGAGGTTTGTGGACAAGAAATCAGGAAGGCACCTCCAGCCTTTCATATTTGGTGGGTGTTTTCTTGAAAAGAGATGATTAAAAATGTATGCACAAATACTTTATAAATATAAATTTATTATAAAACATTATAAATATAAATAATATAAAGTGGATTCTTCAAGGAACAAACTGATGTTTCTATGTATTCTTTGCACATAGGCAAGTTTAGAATTCCATAGTTCATGACATCAAAACATATTATGCATTATATCTTCAAAAGTCACATTTGCTCCAGGTGTGACAGGCAATAGTTAAGGGAGAGATTTACTGGAGGGCTTATCCTTTCTGCACAGTTTTGTGGAGATGTGATTTATAATGCAGTGAATGATCTAAAACTCGGAGACAGAAAAAAAAAAATCGCTTTCCCCGGAGCACAATTGCGTTGAAAAGGTGCTATCATTGTTTTAAACTTCCACTCATAATTTCAATGCGGATATTAAGATCACTTTGGTAGCTGTCAGCTGATTCAACCCTGTCTATGAAAGTCCTTCTATTTTTCTTGTCGTTATAAGTGGGACTCTGATTACCATTCTGCCCAAAATATAACTCATTTTTCTTAAACATATAGTGAAGACTTTTTATTCCTGTTATTCTGTTCTCAGTTAAGCATCATACAGCTTTCAACTGTCACAACAAGAGATATTCAACCATTGAAAATCCTTGTAATTTTTTTAAGGCAGGCAATTTTTTAAGAGATCTTACTAAAAAACAAGCTTGGTTTGAAATAACCGAGAAGGTTATTTCTTTATACTTATTCCTTTCAAATTCCTTTATAAATAAGCAGTGTTTACCTGATTCACATTCCTGTTTCCTTACCTCACACAGAGAGGAGTGGTATCAGGTCTCAAAATATGAATGTGAAAATTATTCATTTTCTGTACTGAATACTTTGGCCAGCAGCTCAATAGACTATAACACCCTATTGTCTGTCCCGGGAATCTCCATCTGCCTTCTGTTTTCCCTCTTATTATGTTAATATCAAATTTGATTTTTGCAAAACAACTGCAGAACAACACCCCCCTGTAATATAGCTACCCCTCTAGTGCCTGAAGTACCTGCCCATTCTGTATTCCAGAAAGGCTGGCTTCTTTTTGCATGAAGCATATAGTTCTGCCTTTTTTAAATATTAGGTGAAAATCTGGCATGTTTGCATATGGCTAGATCATTTCTGAGGGCTCTTCAAGTGCAATTTTCAGTAATCATTCTCAAACAGTCAGTGTGATGGGATGGCATGATTGATTGTGCCCTGGACTTTATATTAACAAGACAGACTTGAGGAGAGCAATTTAGGAAAAGTGTTTCTGAGCTAAGAGGAACTGTCATTCGAATGTATATCAATTTTTATGAGATCATAAATTTGGCTACCAATGAGTTGAGGTTCCTCTAAGCAGAAGCAGATGCATGTTGTAGATTCTGGAAATATTCAGAGCAGGACAGAGAAACTTTAAGTAAAATTGGCTGTCTGACAGAGGGATTGACTTTTCTGGAATGCCTTTAGAAAYCTCTCTCAGCCCAAGTTTCAGTAATTATTCTTAAATATGTAAGTTATGGGACAGAGACAGTTCACTGTGCTCTGAGAACTTTTTAACAGAAAGTACAGAGAATTTTTCATGCAACAATGTCTATGCCTGCGTGCTCGCAGAGGAACCTCAGCAGAAATCTCTGCTATACAAACATGTACATCATGTATTCAATATATAAAGCAATATTCTGACCTGCAGGAGAGACTGAGCTGTAGCTTTATTCCACTTCACCTACAATGTCAGCAATAAGACTCCTATAGCTTCCTTCCTCTGAAAGTACTTTTAAACCTTTTYTCCTCTGTTTGCTAATTCAGTGTACAAACTCCTTTCCAGGACCAGCAGGAGAAAATAAGGAGCAAATTTGCTGCTTTGTGAAAGAGAACTTAAAAAAAGCTATCTCCAGCAGAAGAAACCAAAATGAGACTCAGACTGAGGGGAGGAGTTTGTGAGATAAAGATATTCTGCTTACAAGGCACTAAAGGAATGGCTGCGTTTTCCCTTTTTTTGATGCAGTTGTACAGTTATCGATTCAAAAGGTGTTCAATTACTATTCTTCAGCTGAAATGCAACAAAAGCCACAAGTCTTTTCTCCATAAGAAATTTTCACTACAAGTACCAAACTATTTTATTTTTGGAAACTTTGTTAACTTAAAAGAGAACATTCCAGGGTGAATAAAGCCATGCAGACAATTTCAGTGCTCCTGTTTTTTTTTGTTTTGGTTGCTAAATAAGTCCCTGACAGGACTTCAGTGCTGCGTTTACTATAAGAGGCAGGCCTGAATCCACACTGCACATAGCACAATTAACTGCTTAATGCTATAACATTAAAATAAGGCTTCTATTAGTAATGTAGTCTCTTCCACTAGATTGCCATAGCAGGAGATATTAAAGTCAACAGCTGGAATTCTCTGTGGTCTCYAGGAGCTGTGCTGGGTGCCTGCGCTTCCCAAAGCTACTCGGGCAGTATCTGCAGTCTAGGATCACGCTCAAGATACGGKGCTGGGCTGCCACCGGACCCTTATCTGAGAGGGAGAGTTGCCTGCAGAAAGGCTCAGCTCACGGTCAGTATCTGCAAATCACACAACAGCTACAAGTGCTTAGCCYGAGTCAAGAAGCAGGCAGCCCTGTCTGGGAAATAAAAGCAAAAGGAGCTACAGACGCAACAGACTCTTTCTGTGGATGCTGGTGTCCTTATGCTATCATTCATGTTACCTGGGATAGTTTTCCCTAATGCAAAGGGTACA